TGTTTCCCTGGGCTGAATTGCGACGACCGCGTGGCCCTCCTCTATTCGTTTGTCTTTTGGGCTTTCTTCTGTGCCTTCACCTCCTCTCCGGGCTGGGGAGTGGCTTTCGCTTCGCCCTCACCCCCGGCAAGCCGAGTTGCTTCACCTACGACGCCCTGGAGGCGGGGCGTTATGAGCTGCGCTACCGCCTCACCGCCGGGCTCGCCCCGTTTGTCTCCCTCGCCATCACCACCGCGTCTGGGCGGGTTTTGCTCGAACACCAGCCCACCATCCCCGACGCGAGGGAGGTCTTCGCCGTGAGGTCGCCCGGGGTCATCGCGATTTGCTTTAACGCCGCCACGAAGGCGGCGAGGGCGACCTCGCTTAACGTGAGCCTCGACATCATCGACGCCGCGCTCACCCCGGCGAGGCGGTCGAACTACTCCACAAGCAACCCAATCGCGCTCGGGGTAGGAAAAGGGAGCGGGGCGCTCCGCCAGATGCGCTATATTAACGATGCGCTGACGAAAATACGTCTTTATGTCATCGCGCTCGCGCAGGCCGATCGCGATATCGAGCTCTCGATTCGTATGGTAGGAATTTGGGCGTGGAAGCTTCTGGCGGTGTTCGCCACGGTCGGAGTCATCTTGCTCTCCGTTAGCTATCTCCGGCTGCGGAGATTTTTGTACCAAATGAACCTGATTAAAAGGAAGCCTATCACCAAAAGGTAGGTGACGTATACCTAGGAAGCTGTAAGTTTATATGTAGTGTAATGGAACTTTATGTATAAAGGCGTATAACGATAACGAAGCTAATCGTTATAGATAATATAATTACTGAAACGGGGTATTGGTGTAATCTTAATATATTTTTTCTATTCCTTATTGGCTATTGAAATTTTATCGCCACGCATATACCTTTGCCTTTAATGAATCTGTTTCAGAGAAAGTTGTCAGACTGTGTAAAGATTCAAGTGTGGTCTAAATATTACATTTGTCTTCTCATCCAATAGTTTTATGCATTTGCATGTATTGATGTCTCAAAAATGCATTTTTTATTCAATTAAAAAATAATGGCCATCGCTTTTCAATGAGCACGGAGGAGCCGTCTACTTGCTATATATACATATATTTCCATATTTTTTATTTTTCTTTGAAACGATGTCGGAATCTGTTGAATGTTAGTTTAAATATTTTCTATTATGCTCTTACCAGTGCTTCCTTTTAATTTACCAATTGCCTATAGTGTATTACATAATAAGCGATATCATCTTTGAATCCAAATTTTTTTACTTTCAAGCATCCCAAAATTAAGGTAAGGTGATCTACTCTTAATTGTAACGACATAATTTTGCATCAATATATATTTTCATTAAGTTCAACTTTATTTTTTCGGAGGGTTGAAGGTATACTTATTAGTTATAATAAGGTAGCGTTTTTTTATTTGCTCTTGATTGTTTTGTTTTTCACGTAATAGGGAGGCTCATCTATAATAGCAATGGTCTTTTATCCAACAACGGTAATCTTATTCGTGGTTTCTCTGCTGTTGGTCCTTTATTTTGTGGTGGGTATAATTGTACGCTACCGCTGTGGTCTGCGTCACTTTCCTGAAGTCCTTCCAAATTATATTTTTTGGTGTCGATTGTTTAGTAATCTTCTTCGGATCATAACCTGCGGTCGCTGCCGTGTGCGGATCCCTGTTCGAAACAATGCGTTAAGTGGTTTAACTATGCTTCCAAGTCGCCCAAGCCTCGCTGTTGACGTGACCTTCGAGGGGCTCTCTAGCGATGATAACGAGAATTGGCATGATGTCAACCGCGCGATGGAGCCGGCGGAAGTTGTGGTTCGAAACAAAAAATAATCACAGAGGTAATAAATGAGGGTAAATATTTCAAAAAAAACTAAATGTGATATGTTATCATCCACTTCTTGAGATAAAAAGAAATTTTTACCCAGCATTAAACATTCAGAATTCTTCACTTTTTTTTTATCTTGATGAACATTTCGACTTGAAACCATAATTTTCTTTGAGATTTAGAGATCTGTCTCATATGAATACGAACGAAATTGCGATGCGTCATCTACTGGTATCACTAGCTTTTATACATTTCTTGTTACTTCCTTTATTACCTTTACATATGAACTTTCATTGTTCTTTAACGTCTTTGGCTTCATTATTTGATTTTCATGTTTAGTGCATTTTAACCCATAGAACACTATATTTCTTTAAACACTTTGGCTGATTTACTATATGGTCATAAACATTACCCTTTTTAGGTTTCACCACTGAGGTTGTCCTTGAAGAAGGAAAGAAATTATCAGACGTGACAATTCTCAGATTTGGATCCCGAAATATTAATACAAAAGACTAATCCCTTCAAGACTTTTTCGTTCAGGTGTTTCTGACTAATCGATCAATTGACACTGAAGACTCGTGGATGTCGCTCAATCGTCGTCGAGAAAGGGAATCCATCGCAGCGGAGGCTCCACCACGACTCTGCAAGTCCTATCACCCCGACCAAACGATGTTGAGCTTCTGGGTGACACGCGTTCTGGCCTGCCGGTCGTCGTCGCCAGGCCCGCCAAGCATCCCCCGATGTCCCGCGGAACTCGAGGCCCCCTCCTCTCCCTCCGGAAAAGAGTCTCCTCCCCCTTCCCAAGGCGCCCCCCTTTCTCCCCTTTCACCCGGCGCGGCCCCAGCCTTCGTGCGGGGGCTGCTGCCGGTGCTGGACGACCTTCTCGCCGGGCTCGCGGGGCCCGTCGCGGTCGACCTCCGCCTCGCGGACGGCCCTGGCCTCCTGCGCGACCCCCGAGGCTTCCAACGGCGCCTGGACGCCTTTGAGGCAGCCGGGCCCCCCCTGTTTCCGCTGTGTC